CTTAACCACTTTCTAAGAGGAAGCTATAGATTCATAAAGTAAGAGACAAAAGTTAATGTCAGCTCTCTTTTCGACAATAGACTTCAGAAACAAAAGGATGATTCCACGTGCCAAGATGCACAGACAGTCCATTCTGAAGCCACACTGGCCTTCTCCAGCACCGTGATGAGCTGTATTCCAGGCAGCCTGGAGAGCAAATTCTGAGGCTTTCTCTTCCTCACAATGCAAAAGTATATCTCCCTGCTGCTGACCCACAGCACACTTTTTAACTTAAAAGCAAATTCTTATTCTTTGAAGATTAAACATTAAAAAAAAAAAAAAAACAAGCTTCAGCCTCTCTGGAAAAGTAATTGATAAGTACACTCAAACTGTGAATCTATTTTCACATTGTTAAGCATTTATTTATTAAAAAGTAATATATGTTTCTGGAAATAGCTCTTTTTTGAAAATCTCCCCAGGGTAAGAACACAGCACACATAGTCTGTAGAATCAAGGCCCTGTAGGTAAGAGAGATTATTTTGTCATATGGATTCCTCAGGAAAGAAGATCATGCCAGGATAAGCATCTACTGTTTTGTTTTTTTTTATTTCAATTCTCCACCTTATAATAATCTATTATAAATTGTATATGTGATAGATTTGTAATTTGTGAACATGGTGAGGATAAGCTACATTTCCTGGAACTTCTGTTCTTGTATGTTTCAGGTGCAAATGGGCTCTAAGAAAGATGCTCATGGGAGACGTGGAGGGAGGACGGGAAGCAGCACCTGTATTGTTGCTCATTCACTCTGTTGCTTACCTGCTGGCACATCTCACTGGTGTGAGACAGTGGCCGGCCTCACAACTGCCTCTTCATCCCCAGATCCTCCAGATTCTCTGATTCACGCATTAGGTGAACAGAAAGGAGCAACCGCTCTCGACACAGTGATAAGACATTTGCCTGTCAAAGGGTGGGGAATAAACCCCATGAAAAATCAAGGACCTGCAATCTCAGTGAAATATCTAGGGGTCCAGTCTGTGACACATTAAGGACACTTTTTCACATCTTTACTGAGTAACCTAAAAAGCTACAAGCTGTGAGCAGGGGCCCAGAACAAGAGCAAGCTCTGTACGAAGCCTAACCTGCCACTGCTGCTTGGGTGACTGAACGCAAGTCCGTGTGCCCAATGCACAGTGAGGCCAAGAAACCAAAATGTCAGATTTTTGAGCAGAGGATTGATTTCAGGGCCAGGCAAGGAGAATGAGTGACTCATGACCCCCCCACCACCCCCGAACACCCTGAAGCGTTTTGGCAAAGTATTTTTAAAGGCAAGGTGGGGGGGTGGGTCACAGGCTGTGTGATCAACTTGTGCACGATTCTCTGATTAGCTGATGCTGAGGTAACAAGGCAAAGTCACAGGGGTTAGCATTATTAATTGTCAGGCACCAGGAAGTCTAGGAGTTTACGATCATCAGGTAGTTAATGTCTCCCATTCGGTGGTGGTTTCCCTGGTGGCTCAGCTGGTAAAGAATCTGCCTGCAATGTGGGAGACCCAGGTTCAATCCCTGGGTTGGGAAGATCCCCTGGAGAAGGGAATGACAACCCACTCCAGTATTCTTGCCTGGAGAATCCCATGGACAGAGGAGCCTGGTGGGCTACAGTCTGTGGGGTCATAAAGAGTCAGTCATGACCAAGAGACTAGCACACACTTTAGCGTCTATAAAATAACTCAGAAAGTGTGCATCAAATACTATTATCTGGGTCCTTCAGAGAGGAGTTACAGGGGAGGGTGTGGGATACGGCTCTGTCCCAGGAAGGCCCACAGGGTCCCGCTTGATTACATTTGGACCATAATCCAGGAGATCCAATGGTGCTTGAAATGTTATTGACTTACATGATTGCTATAATATTTAGAGCCTCTTTCAGGTTCCTCAGGTTCCTATGGGGCTTCCCTGGTGGCTCAGAAGTTAAAGCGTCTGCCTGCAGTGCAGGAGACCCAAGTTCGATCCCTGAGTCGGGAAGATCCCCTGGAGAAGGAAATGGCAACCCACTCCAGTATTCTTGCCTGGAGAATCCCATAGACGGAGGAGCCTAGTAGGCTACAGTCCAATGGGTCGCAAAGAGTCTGACATGACTGAGCAACTTCACTTTCACTTTCAGGCCCCTATAGATGGATCACAATGTGAATCCTTAGGATTTTAGAATAAAGCCCTGTCATCCTCTGTGGATAACTATTCTTTTAAGAAACAGCTTATGTTTTGCTATCGAGTCTCGGTAGGCATTGACTGCTTGGTCATGGGTTACTAATGTACCAGGTGACCTGAGCTAGGTATCGTCTGACCCACTGAGCCATAAAGTTAAACATGCGCTGAAGTATTTTATTCTCACGTGAGAGTGCTATATGCAAAATTGGGCTTTAGCAGAACATGAAGGCACAAGTATGCTATACGAGCAAGTGGCCAGTATATCCAGAGCCTCTACCCCCGATGTACTGTCTTCTTTCTCTTAATCTGTACCTATGGCTTCCTGGGGAGCTCTCTGTGTTGGAGGAAGAAAATACTTAGGCCTGTTTCGCACATGATTCTGCACAATAGGCAGATGGCACGCAGAAGTGGTCAGCTAAGAACAAAATGGACAGTTGAAGCTTAACAGGCTTACCCTGAAGACCAGGGGTGAAGGGAAATCTTCCCAGGGCCAGCATATTGAGCACTGCCCCTGCTTGTCCATTTCGCTTATAAGCAGAGATGTCCAGAAGTACAAGTCTACACTAATTTATGGGCCATGTCTAATACTTGGCTGAACATCAAGAGATTTGGAAGGGACATGATTCAAAAATTGGTGTCAAAGGGATCCGGAGGAAAAGCAGGTTGACAGAGCTTTCCAAAGGGGTAAGGTGTGTGAAGATATTTGTTTCTATGTGAATGCTCACTGAAGGGTGAATTCAACAGAGAAGTATTTTAATAATCAGATGGAGAAGATGAGCCATTCTGTGGGCTTCAGTCAGCCTACTTCTCCAGCAACTTTGCTCAGCTGGCTCATGAATAAAGTGACCACGGCAGCTGAGATGAAAGTTTTGCAGGGGCTCATAGTCATCTGCTTACCAGGGACCTCCTGGCTATGGCTGCTGCAAGAGCCCGATATGTTAATAGCAGAGGTCAACAGTAAGCCACTGGCATGGCACAATTCCCAGATACTAACTAGCCACCTACTGGCACGTTGATTACATTAGATTAGATCTTCTCTCCTGGAAAGGACAGTGTTTTGTTCTTACTGGAACAGACATCTACTCTAGATGTAGATTTGCCTTCCCTGCCCACAATGCTTCTGCCCAAGCCACCACCAAAACCATGCACAGAATGATTTATTCACTATCATGATATTCTACAAACCATCATTTCTGGCCAAAAAAAAAAAAAAATTATTTCATAGCCAATGAGGTACAGCAATTGCCTCGTGCAGTTCCCTGGTCTTGTCATGTTCCCCATCACCCTGAAGAATCAGGCTTGACAAAATGATAGAATGGCCTTTTGAAGACTCAGTTATGGTGAGATGTCCAGCATCAAACATGCTCCAAATCATCATCCAATGCTTATTTTTGTTTCTCCCACACCCAGGATTCATAGGTCTGGGAATAAGGGTTGGTGATGGGAAAGTTTCCTCTCAGTACTGTCCCTGGTGATCCACTAAACTTTTGCCTCCTGTCCCTATGATGTTAGGCACTGCTGGTCCAGAGGTCTTAGTTCCCAAGAGATAAGTGCTTCCACCAGGGCACCCAAGGATGACTGTGCTGAACTGGGTGCCCCTTGATTCATGCCATTGGATCAATAGCAAAAGAAGGGAGTGACTGAATCTGGGCTGATTCTGCAAAAAGAGGTTAGAGAAAATGTCTCCAGTGTTAAAAATCCTCTAGGTTGCATCTCAATATTCCCATATCCTCTGATAAAGCTACATCAATTCAATTATTAAGACTGCTAATGACCCAGACCCTTCAAGAATGAAGATTTGGTTCACCCCACCAGGCAAGGATCCACAACTAACTGAAGTGTTTGCTGAAGATGAAGGGAATATGGAATGGAAAGTGGAAGGAAGTAGTTATAAATATCAGTTATGACCACACAACCAGATGCAGATATAAATACTGTAATAGTTATGAGTATTTCTTTCTTACTGTGATATGTTGGTTTTATTCAGTCACTAAGTTGTGTCCAACTCTTTGTAACCCCATTAAATGCAGCACTGTGATATGACCATGTATATATATGTGTGGGCTTTCCTGGTGGCTCAGCGTTAAAAAAATTCACCTGCAATGCAGGAGACATGGGCTCAATCCCTGAGTCAAGAATATCGCCTGGAGAAGGAAATGGTAACCCACTCAAGTATTCTTGCCTGGGAAATCCCATGGACAGAGAAGCTTGGTGGGCTACAGTCCATGAGGTCACAAAAGAGTCGACGTGACGTAGCAACTGAATGACAACAATAAATGTATAGTTATATATAGTTTACATACATTATGCTTATACATATATATATTCACCCAATTATTTTTGCATTTGTCCTATGTCTCATTCTCATTTTCTTAGCTAACATAAGATGTGTTAATAGTAGATGACTTATTATCTCAGTATATAAATAGTAGAGGATTGCAAAGGGGAAGTGTGAACTAGCGAGGAGTACACTAAAATCAAACATCACCCAAAGTGAAGGAAAAAAAAAAGACTTTGGATCCTCTTCTGGGCAAAGATTAGTGTTTGGGTTGTTCTTGGGATAGATGCATTGCCTTACGTGGAGACATGACTGTGTTATTATCTTTATTTGGAGATTAAGTGTGATTTTAAAAATGCGTTTGAGTGCCAAGTTGTCAAAGAGTAACTGACAGTGAGTAAACTTGAGGACGCCGAACTGTATTTCCCAGAATCTCTCTCCTGTGTGTTAGAGTGGGAAGAAAGACATTCTTGTGCAAAATTTGGAGGCGGTGTGAAATTGCAGCCATTTCATAGTTTGTACATAGCTTGTTTCTTCACAGCTGTCTCACCTCCTGCAGGAGGCAGCGGCTGGGCCTGTGACTCCTCTGTGTCCAGCTCTTCCTCCAGTTTTTCCAACTCCTGGGCCAGGTATGTATGTTTAGCTCTGTGATGAGTGTCCTGCTTCTGCAGGAAATCTGTGTAATCAAGGTCAAAGGCATTAAGAACTGATACAAATCTCAATCTCCTTTGAACTACAGCCTGTTCACCTGGATTCTATCTTATACTGAAATAGGCTCTTCCCCATTTTATATCCACCTTCCTTTCCTGATAGCCTTTCCTTGGACTTCAAGTTCCAACATCAGATGTGAAGACAACTTTACAGACATGAATTAACCATATACAACAGTTCCATGAGGTCAGATCTCTGTAGCTATATTATATGTGTGAGCGCGCTCAGTCGCTTCAGTCATGTCCGATTCTTTCCGACCCCGTGGACTATATAGCTCACCACACTCCTCAGTCTATGGGATTCTCCAGGCAAGATTACTGGAGTGGGTTGCCATGACTTCCTCCAGGGGATCTTCCCAACCCAAAGATTGAACCTGTGTCTCCTGCATTGCAGGTGGATTCTTCACCGCTGAGCTACTGGGGAAGCCCAACTATACTATATACGTAACAACAGAGATAAATCTCAAAATATTTATGCTGAGGGGAATAAGACAGACAGAAAGAGCATATACTGTATGATCTCATGTATATAAAGCACTAGAGGGAATTCTTCGGTTGTCCAGTGGTTAAAACTCAGCACTATCAGTGATGGGGCCTGGGTTCAAAATTCTTGGTTGAGAAACTAAGATCCCACAAGCTGTGTGGTCACGCCAAAAATAAGTAAATAAAATAAAACTCTAGCAAACTAATCTAGAATAGGAGAAAGCACATCAGTGGTTGCCTGGAGAGGTGGGAGAGGAGGGGCAGTGAGTGGCAGGGTTGGGGAAGGGTTAGGAAGAGGAAGAAGTAGTTTTTTGAGACTGATAATTATTTTCACTCTCTTGAAAATAATGATACTTTCATGAATGTATGCATGTGTCAAAACTTACTAAATTGTCCAATTTAAATATGTACATTTTATTATATGTCAATTATGCCAAAATAAAATTAAGGTGTTTCTTTTTAAAAAATGCAACTTTTTAAAATTCAACCAAAATACTGTGTTAGTCAGGTTGAAGCAGAAACATAAATGTTTTATATACATGAAATCATACAGTATATGCTCTTTTTGTTTGTCTTATTTCACTCAGCATAATTATTTTGAGATTCATCTCTGTTGTTAGGTGTTCATTCTAAAAGAGTTGAATCTAAAAGGTTAGCTTTTCTTTTTCCTTTTAAATTGAAGTATAGTTGACTTATTTGACTTATGCTGTGTTAATTTAAGATGTACAGCTGAGTGATTCATGTATTCTTTTTCAGATTCTTTTTCCCTTAGAGCTTGTTACAAAATAAAAGATTAAATTCTTAAATAACAACATGTCGTTTAAGTATAGGTTAACCACAAGCGTTTAGATGCAGTGTGACTGGGCATAATTCAGAGATACAGGAGTCCCGGCAATCATTCGCGATATTTTGGGAGCACTTCCTGATGGCAGGAGGCCCTCGAGATAGCGTCATTACATCAAGCGCATCATTAAGTGGAGAAGTGCAAGCTTCTTTGGAAAGGGCTTTGAAAGGCTGGACTCTGCATAAAATGGAAATCTTGGCCAGTGGAATAGGGCTGGACTGCGCTATTGCCAAAGGTTATCCAGGAGACTAGGGAGGGACTGGACACCACCCACTGGTTTATGAGTGGGGCACCTTCCGGGAGGAACGTGGAGTAGTATCAGCCGGGATAAAGGGCGGTCACTCTTGTTCTTGCTTGTTTCAGCACCATTAGCATATGAATCCAGCATCTCCAGGGTGGCCCCTTTCACCCCGTTCTCCTCTAGCCAGGTTTCTCCCACATTGCTCAGACAAGCCAGCAGAGACGGATTGCTCCACAGGGCCCTTTAAAGCCTCCAAAGATGAGTCATAGAAAGCAACACGGTGTAGTGGACATTTGACTAAAAAGAAAGAGATCTGGACTTTAACCCAGATCTGGCATGTATTATTTGGGGGTACTATGAATAAATCAGATTCTCCCCCTGAGTCTCATTTCCTCGACAGTCAAATGAAGGAACTGAACTATGTGCTCTTGAAAATCTCTTCATTCTATGCATCTAATGTAGTGGGATAACAAAGTCTTAGAGGATGAAAGGCCTAGTTGTGGTCAGGTCAAGAAACATTTAGACAATCTAAGTTGAACCATCGTGTGTAAACTCTAGGAGCTACATCATAGCCAGCCATCCACTCATCCATCCATCCAACCATCCATCCATCCATCCATCTATTCATCCATCTAATAAATATTTAGTCAACACCAATATGTATCAATAATGTCAGATATACAGAAGATACCACCTTTATGGCAAAAAGTGAAGGAGAGCTAAAGAGCCTCTTGATGAAACTGAAAGAGGAGAGTGAAAAAAATTGGCTTAAAACTCAACATTCAGAAAACTAAGATCATGGCATCTGGTCCCATCACTCCAAGGCAAATAGATGGGGAAACAGTGGAAGACTTTATTTTGGGGGGCTCCAAAATCACTGCAGGTAGTGACTGCAGCCATGAAATTAAAAGATGCTTGCTCCTTGGAAGAAAAGTTATGATCAACCTAGACAGCATATTAAAAATCAGAGACATTACTTTGCCAACAAAGGTCTATCTAGTCAAGGCTATGGTTTTTCCAGTAGTCATGTAAGGATGTGAGAGTTGGACTATAAAGAAAGCTGAGTGCTGAAGAATTGATGCTTTTGAACTGTGGTGTTGGAGAAGACTCTTGAGAGTCCCTTGGACTGCAAGGAGATCCAACCAGTCTATCCTAAAGGAAATCAGTCCTGAATATTCATTGGAAGGACTGATGTTGAAGCTGAAACTCCAATACTTTGGCCACCTGATGCAAAGAACGGACTCATTTGAAAAGACCCTGATGCTGGAAAAGATTGAAGGTGGGAGGAGAAGGGGATGACAGAGGAAGAGGTGGTTAGATGGCATCACCGACTCGATGGACATGAGTTTGAATAAACTCCAGGAGTTGGTGATGGACAAGGAGGCTTGGTATGCTGCAGTCCATGGGGTCACAAAGAGTTGGACACGACTCAGTGACTGAACTGAACTGAATATGTGCAAGACATTTTGCCTGGCAGTGGAGACAGGAAGATGAATGTTATCCAGCTCCTTTCTGCAAGATGGTCACAATGCACCAAGAGAAAACCATCTATTTACAACATTTGATAATTTCAATAAAAATATGTTCATATCAGAGGTATATTTTGGTAATATTTTGATTTTCAGAATCTTATACAGAGAAAGAGGAAAATAATTCTTGTAGTTGAAACAACTGAATATGGGTACATTTAGAGCAAAGGGCATTTCAGAAAGTACCATATGGAGATACAGGAAGGAGGGATTAAAACTGTTAATCTCAAGCATTGTCCCTTTGGGAAACACATGGTCACCCTTTTTCCTTAGCCTATCATACTTCCAGTTATGTATTTCTTATGTGTAATAATTACCCAGCAAGCATTTAGGAAGAAGAAGACGAAAGAGAAGAAAATTCTAACTCGACTCTCCATACAGCTAAGCAGGTAACTACCAATTTTCCCTCTTAGAAGAGACCCAAACTGGGAAGCCACAAACTTTCTAAGGGAAGGATACATCGTTTTGAATTGACCAAATTTAATTAATCCAATATTATTAACTTACATTCTTCAATGTAAAGGTGATGCCTTTAAACCTGAGGTTCATCTTCATAAAAAAGCATTTATTTTTGAAGTTTCTGTCATAAACACTAATATGTTTACTTATTAGCATCTAAATTCTCCAGAGATGGCTTTAAATCAATACATTTCTGTTTTCAAAAAAATTTTTCCTTTATTCTTTTCAGGTTTATCAGAATCACCCAGCTTTAGGTGAATTGATTAAAAGAGAAGAAACAGCTTATACCAAGAGAAAAACTCTGACCAACACTTTTAATTTTTGTTCTCAGCTTATACAGTTGAAGATAGTAGTAAGTGAACAGTATGTGTGGTGTGCTAAGTCGCTTCAGTCATGTCCAACCCTTTGTGACCCCGTGGACTGTAGCCCACCAGGCTCCTCTGTCCATAGAATCCTCCAGGCAAGAATACTGAAGTGGGTTGCCTTGCCCTCCCCCAGGGGATCTTTCCAACTCAGGGATCTAACCTGCATCTCTTCTGTTTCCTGCATTGACAGGCGGGTTCTTTATCGCTAGCGCCACCTGGCAAGCCCATAGGCCTGTTTTAACAGTTTAACCTTACGTGTTTAGCTATTCAACAGACCTGGGTGAAGTCTGCTCCCCTCTCTGACTTCCCCGAAGCCAGCAAGCCGCGTCATGTGGCTGGCTGACCTCCCAGCACCACCTACCTCCACTCCATGAGATGCCATCAGATCCCACCCAAAGGAGCCAGTCGTCCCCATGAAACAATGAGCGATTCTTACAAGACACAAGTGGGGCTCTGTTACTGTGGCACAGGAAGGCTTGATAAGATCTCCCAGCCACAGCATTCTTTTGTGTCAGCAGACGCAAGTGGGATGTTCCTTCTGCGGCTCTTACGGAGCAAGAGGAAGCAGGCTTTGAAACACAATGTTCATTGAAATTGGCTTTCATCTAAGGAATCCCATGGTGGCTCCTGCTTCATGATGTGCATTCTGTCTGCAGCTGAGCTCTCCTGATGCATTTCCGTTGTTTGTTCTGGGGGGAAGGCAGCACCTTTATGAGGCTCGCTCACTCTTAGTAGGTAAAGGGCATCACATTGTGCTAGACAAAGCATTAAGTGTCAGGATGTCTCCAGTGAGTCTGGAGCATAGAAGGACCATTACAAATAAAATTTTAAAAAAGTCAAAGCCTCCGCCATCCTGGCTCAATGATGAAGCACTAGCTCTGTCAGAGAAGAGACATAAAGCCTCCGGGATGACCCTTGGGCGGCACACGCATGCTTGGTGACTTCTGGAGCAGGAAATATTTGTTGCTTTAGTTATGACAGTGGGCACAATGCCACAGGCCACAAATAGTGGTACTTAACCATAGTCTGAATGCTGTGGGCACTTAGGGAATCTTCCCAGAGGCAAGTCCGCCTTCATTATTTACCAGGGGGGCAACTCTGGTTCTTAAAGGACAGGAAAGGGGAAGAGGAAGTAATCCATAGCACTAAATCATGAGTAAGAAGTTTCTCCATCCTATTGTCCTGGTTTATTAACAATTCATCTTCTTTTCAAGGAAAAACATTCAGGATTCAATAAAGAGTTTCTGATGAAGAAGAGGTCTAAATCAGTACATGAAAGAAGCCAACGCTATTTAGTCCACTTTTCCTTTTTCAGACACCTCCTCCCACCTATCATTGTCCTTCTCTGCCGTACTCCACCTGTACCAACCAACTTATAATACAAAGGAACCTAAACAGTTAACTCACAGTATGGATAGAAGAGTGAACATGAAAATTTTCCACTTCTATGGCACTTTAACTCTGCAAAAATATTGTTTTTCTTTTGACTCTCTAAACAAGCTGGTGAAGTTTGGTAGGCATTGTCTATTTCAGCAGTAGTGGGAATCAGCAGAGAGACAGAACAAGGTCAGAGACCCTTAAATCTCATAAAGAACTGGCAAGAAGTTCATGAAGGAAAATTCATGTATATGGTTCCCGACCAAGGCCTTGATCATCAAACTGGTTCCCCTAGGCATGTGGACAGGTGATCATCAATCTTCAATCTGACCATCAAGGCTGGCTAAAGTCTGTATGAGTCTATATAAACACATATGTCTATGTGTTTATGTGAAGGTAGCTGTGACAGAGGTACATACATACAGCAGATACTGATATTGGAAAACTCAAAAAACCTGAAAATTATTTCTTGGAGGCCACTATGCTTGTTCTAATCTAAAAAGAACAGACATCAATTTTATAAGTGATGCAGGACACAAGAAAATGACAACCTGGGCAGTTAACTTTCCCAAGAAGGGAAAAGATCCAAAGGGATCCTAAGAAATCAAAATTCTAGCTAAACTCCTTAAGTAAAGTAAGTAAAGTCACTCAGTCGTGTCCGACTCTTTGTGACCCCATGGACTGTAGCCTACCAGGCTCCTCTGTCCGTGGGATTTTCCAGGCAAGAGTATTGGAGTGGGTTGCCATTTCCTTCTCCAAAACCCCATAAGTAGAACCTAAAACTGCTCTCTAAATGGCTTATCTTTAGCTGAGCTAATAATGAAACTCTTGAATACCTGGAAATTTTGTGGAGTCTTCTCTGGGATATCCTTGGGAAAAGATTTGCCCAAATCTAGGTATTGTAAAAGATCCTGATGACCTTTCCCCTATATCTGACTTGAAGAGCTCATTCCTGATTTCAGTAGGTTTCTGAAAAAGAGAATTTATATTGGCAGTTGGCTTCGCGTAGAAAGCACCCATCTACCTAACCATCACTTTTAATCTATCATCCTTTTCCTTCAACCATGGTTAAGAGAATAAAAAAGAAATAAAATTATAAGATGTATCAGTTCAGTTCAGTTCAGTTCAGTTGCTCAGTCACATCTGACTCTTTCCGACCCCATGAACCGCAGCACGCCAGGCCTCCCTGTCCATCACCAACTCTCGGAGTTTACTCAAACTTATGCCCATTGAGTCGATGATGCCATCCAGCCATCTCATACTCTGTCATCCCCTTCTCCTCCTGCCCCCAGTCCCTCCCAGCATCAGGGTCTTTTCCAATGAGTCAACTCTTCACATGAGGTGGCCAAAGTATTGGAGCTTCAGCTCCAACATCAGTCCTTCCAATGAACACCCAGGACTGATCTCCTTTAGGATGGACTGGTTGGATCTCCTTGCAGTCCAAGGGACTCTCAAGAGTCTTCTCCAACACCACAGTTCAAAGGCATCAATTCTTCGGTGCTCAGCTTTCTTCACATAATGAATAGCAAAACTTTGTAAAGGGGATTTCTGCATTGAGTGTGATATTCAGAGGTTCTTTCTAATTTTAAGATTCCATGACTTTAAAAATCCTAGGAGAATGATGCTAGTGCATATAATTTCTATACATATATCAGTGTTCTCTGGGTTAGGACCACATAAATAATACCCAGAAGAGATATCATATATTTTATTAAAGCACATCTGATTCAGTTAATTTAATTAATTTATTCAAGTTTTATTGTGATATAATTGATGCTCAGTACTATATAAGTTGGGGCTTCCCTGGTGGCTCAGATGGTAAAGGGAGACCCGGGTTCAGTCCCTAGGTTGGGAAAGATACCCTGGAGAAAGGGAATGGCTACCCACTCCAGTATTATTTCCTGGAGAATTCTATGGACAGAGGAGCTTGTGGGTTACAGTCTACAGGGTTTCAAACAGATACAACTCAGAGACTAACACTTTCAATTTTTTTTTTTTTACTATATAAGTTGAAGGTATACAGCATAATGATTTGATCTACATGCATCATGAAATGATAACATACTAAGTTTAGTGACCATCCATCATCTCATATAGATACAAAATGAAAGAAATAGAAAAAAAATCTATTTTTCCTTGTAATGAGAACTGTGAGGAGTTACTTATGCTTGAGATGATACTTAAGGCTTGAGAAGCAATTATCTGGGTGAAGAAGATAGGGAAGGAAATCTAAATAGAAGGACTACTATGAGAAATGTAAGGGGATCTGAAACACCAGGCACGTTTGAAAAACTATGGTGGTGGTTTGGTGGCTAAGTCGTGTCTGACTCTTGCAACCCCATGGACTCATCTGTCCTTAGGACTCTCCAGGCAAGAATACTGGTGTGGGTTGCCGTTTCCTTCTCCAGAGGATCTTCCCGACCCAGGAATCGAACCCAGGTCTCCTGCATTGCAGGCAGATTCTTTACCAAATGAACTATGAGGAAAGCCCGAAAAACTATAAATAACAGTATTTCTGGAAACTTGACAGTAAAGTAGAAATGGGGCAGGGTACACCTATAGCAGCCAGACATGAAAACTGCTCTCAGACCTTAAAGTTTCTGTTAGGATATGGATAAAAGAAATCAGAAGAGGATTTAATTCTTAGCATTTTCTGACTCCAGGAATTTGACAGTGTGAGATTTGGGATCAAAGCAACTGAAAAGGCAAGACTGAGGTTATACTAAGATCAAATGATTTACTTTAAGGCAATGAAAGGCAGAAGCTAGAATTGCAGGCAGGGCTAAAACATTATTGACATCTTGGTCAGTAGGGTGTGGCCTCTTATGAGAACTTGAAACAGCATTAGTAATGTGACTCATTTTTTTTTCTTTCTTAGAAACCAATAGGACATCTATAAAGTCCTAGATCCTGACTGCAATTTTGTGTGTCTAAGAATAAATGAGAAAAAACAAGAACACAAGAATAAAGAGAAAAGGAAAGGATCAAACTCTGCAGGATATTTGTAGCATACTTTTAGTGACCTCAAATTATGAGATTAAAGATGGAATGAAAAGGAAATGGTTTTGAAGGTAGATATTTGAATACAAGCTCTTGAACTTGCTCTGTGGGAAGTAATGAAAGCAAAGATAACTTAAATTTGTGTGTGTTTAGAAAATGAGAAACAAGAAGGAATATTGAGACCACTCTTTGGTTGAGAAACTGATGGAAACTATTACTATTAAAATAATTTCAGAATAAGGCAAGAAAGAACCTCATTAAAACCTTTATTTATTACAACCTCAATAAATAGAGTCCACCAGGCCTTTGGAGAGAAGAAGCTTTAAGGGTTTCTCAATGCCTCACCTCCTTTCCATTCTTCCCAAACTGCATCTCTTAATGACTTAGCAACATGAATTAGCAGGCAGCTCTGGAGCAAAGAGCGCCAGCTATCTAATTTGCAGGGCCCAGAACAAAATGAAAATGCAGAATCTCTTATTCAAAAAGCAGAAAACAATGTACTATCACGTTTGGAGATGAAACTTCGGATATATTTAGATAGAGATATCTAGATATAAAGCTTTTCCCTTTCTTCCACCATCTTTCTCTTGACTTGTCATGGTATTGTATTAATTTTTTATTTAATGCCATTATAAATTGAGAAAAGATAAAACTTTAAATTCTTATCATGAATTTTATCATTCATCTTTCTATTATGCATGCCAGTCTTAAATACAAAAGTAAAAGCACTAAAGTACTTTTATTTTATCTAATTATGTAATTTGTATTTTGTAGCTCATACATGAATATGTATTTTATGGAAGACTGAAAATGCTATAGGAGACTAACTCAACTGCTTTTATTTCACTTCTCAATATTCATACATTCTACTAACATGCTATGCCTTCAACTAATAGATGGGTAAGAAAGGACTAAACAGAAAGGTAATAATAGATCACTCTATCTTTCTGTTTC